ACCAACACAAACGAAGAAAATCCAGTAACAACGAGATATGGCCGAAGAGTGAGATGGCCGCAAAGATACATAGCTACGATTCTGAATTAATAATTTCTTTCACCTCTTCTAATGTAAATTTCATCTTCATTTTCTATGTACAAATCGAAAATTTTAGCTTATCTATTATTATATTCAACATATTTTATGTATTCTTCCGATCTTCCGTTATGATCTTATTTGGCCTCACGGACATATACCAACTCAAACTTACACATATTTTTAATAACTTATACGATAGTTCTATCATATATCTTAATTTCGTAAATTTCGATATTTCCCATCTTGTTAAATTTGACATTTTTTTCGCAAACACAGACACTTTTGTATCTTTGTTTGCTGGGAGGAGCTATTATAGCAACTCACATTCAATTGAGTTTGCTCTCACCTAATTCGGTTAAGCCTTTTTATTAACTTATTAAACGGACAAAGTCACCTGCACTATAATAACTTATTGTATCCTTATTACTGTTGCGAATGTATGTACCTTTATTATTGTTATCCTTGTATGAATATGTATGCTCGGCAAGCCTTACTGCCTACGCATTTATTCACGCTACTAGCTTTACTATTAACCGCTTAATTGACTCGATGATTCATTCATTTCACTATGTATATATATGTCCATGTTATTCATATTCATTACTCGCTCGCTCGTTCATTCACTCGCTCGATCGCTCGCTCGCTCTTGCCCTTGCTCTCTCTCGCTCGCTCGCTCGCTTGCCTGTTTGCCTTTCGGCACAACTATTTCATGCTTGCTTAACGCATCTGTAATATTGGATATCTGTGTGTGGTCCCTTAATAAACGTAATTAACGCTTCGTATTCGCCTTCTGATTAATATACCGTTGGAGCATTATTTGGTGACGGTTACCGAGACGAACTGTATACGGAGTTTAAGGAATATATCGAACACCGACCACCACAGTTGTCTAGCTTGAGTTAACTCATGATTTCAACTACTGAAATTTCTAAAAATCTCCACATAACTTCCTCTGATAATAATCACTTTTAGTTTACATTTAAATTCATAGTTGGTTTACATCTTAAGTATATAGAATGGATCATATCTGTTATTATCTCAGAATGATGATTTTTCAGTAAATGATTAGTTTGTTAATATCTTTCACAGTATAAAACCACTTATAAAGCGTAAAACTTATATGTTAAATTGCAACTGGCTTCAACCATGCTATTATCGAGATAATTAGCCTATTCTGTTATTATCTTTTAAATCTCTATTGGTTATGGAACGCGTATTGAATTCAGTTAAATTTTAATTATGGTCATTTAGCTAAGTAACTCAAAATCATAGTGTACTTTAATTCACTACTTGTAACCACCCCATCAACAAATGAAAATATACACAGCTACTGAACCACAATTTCTTTTAGTTACGTGTAAAAATTGATTGATATGATTTATTCACTACTTTGAACTACATACCATCAACTTGGTCACTATCTTTATTTAGAAACTGTAAACTTTCTATATACTTCATCGTTTGGTATGCGTAGTCAGTTTATTAACATTTTTGTTTTCAAACTTTGCTCAGCCTATTATTCATCGTTATACCACTCTACTTCGTGAGAAAGTTTGTCCTGTTTGTGGTACTTATGTAAGTTGTAGATAGTTAGCTTAAACTGAGACTTCTAGTGATATGCACATCACTTTTTGTGTGTGTAATTCGGTGAGAATTGTATAACTAATGTGATATGTAATATTTTTGTGAAATTTTATAAAACCAATAGTTAATGCAAATCTCGACAAATTTTTACATACATACGTACATAACCTGTTTGATTAACCTTTTGTTCGAATCAAAATAATATAGTTTTATTTCCTCTTATCCATTCCATAATGTTTCAGTTATATATAGATGGATTTTGTTCTCGTTTAAACTTACTATAAACTTCCTAGAAGTGTAAGAAATATTTTGAATAATAGCAGCATATACTAAATGTCATTTCTCTAAAGAATGTTTATTATTTGTGTTTTAACAAGTATACTACTTAAACGATACTCCAGTAGTTTGTTTGCGTAAGGTAGATATTTTCAAAATGATTACCAAAAAAAGGAATAAATGGTTTTACCTAAATGCAACTATACAAACAAACAAATCTCTTAAGATCAGAAACATAAGTTTAACCCTGAATAACAATGAAAATCTCAGAATTATATCTTCCGAATTATTCATATCACTGAAACCAAAGAAAAATAATATGTGGTATCTAGCATTTGGGAATTTTCCATCATTTTAAGCAAAGATTCTAGTTATGACGAAATAAATCGGGAGTTTTCCAACAGTTTTAGGGGAATATATAAAATGATGCTGATAAAAATTGAAGGCCACCACTTCTAACTTTTAATTAACATGGTTTTCTATCACAACTAAATGGGTTATTTCAGCAATCGACAAAGATATAAACCATTCTCTACAGCTTTTGTCAGTATATGAATTTATTGACCTGAAACCTTCCAGATTGTACTAAATTAATTCGAAATTTCATGTATAAAATACAATAAGAGTATTTCAGAGATAATCAGCAGATAATAATGCGAGCCCGTGGCCAGTGGAGTTCAACCATATCAAATATTAGGCAGCTACTCTTGAACTAAATCTGAAAAAGGTTACTTGACATTAAAAAGCGATTTAAATCAAGCTTGTAAAACACTGGATGCCGTGTCTGTGGTCCAGAGCTCAGGCATTCGCGTGTGAGACCAAATGTTTGAGGTTTGGCCCCTGAGTCACAGTCGTGGATGTGCACTGCTGACGAGCCACATGCTAAAACAAAACTACTGACTTCCGATCCCAAGTTTTCGATAATTATTTAACTAATATCATTCCGGGATTTAAACATGAAATTAAAAGTCTTCACAAATCCCTATCGTTTTACGAAATGAGTCTGTTTTTTTAAACTGTGTTAAATAAGATGAATATGACATGGAATTTCTGACGGAATCAGGTAAACGTTGGATAATACTAATCGTTTGTTCAGGGTGATTTTACTTTTAACTCACAAACAGGTATATTTTATAATAAGGGAATGAATTTTAATTAGGTTTCATGAATATGCAACATGGATATAATGGTAAATATATTTCAATAAAATTCAACAATCCCCACAAACTCATGTTCACAAATATCGTATCTCCTCTAGTACCAATCTTAGAGAGTAAATTTTTAAAGACAATGAAAAATAATAGAGCAATATCGTGGATTGATTGAATTTAGTCCTAAACATGATTGGCTCCCGACTTTGTAGTCCATAGGTTAAGCGTTTTCTCAACGAATAAGGTTTTGGCTTAGGCTTTCAATTGAGAGATCATGAATGCGTACTGCTGAAAAGTCTCTAGTCTAGTCTTTCCAGGTTTTCAATGATTGTTTACCTTGGATTGGTTCATAATTTCAATAAAATATGAAGCGGAATTAGAATATATATAACATCGTTCTCAATCATTTATTATCACTCTAAATATTCAATAAAGAGTATGAGAGGTAGAGGATTTGTCATTAAAAAAATATTCTAATTCTATCTTGTGTCATTTACATCATTCAAATTTGGAGGACATCAGTTAAAATTGTGTTCAACAAGAAATAAAACATGAATCTTGTATATACTGATTCTATCGATATTCTATTCTCATAGATTACATCTTCACTTATCAGTGTTATTTCAATAGTTGAGACAATGAGTCAATTGAAGCTAGACCACTACCATGGAAAACCTAGAAGTACTGGATGCTCATTTCGTCCTATTGTGGGACTCCTCAGCAGTGCGCATACGCGATCCCTCCTCGCGAGATTCGAACTCAGGACCTATCAGTCTCGTGCGCGAGCGCTTAACCTCTAGTTCACTGAGCTGGTCGGTATCCAACGCTGTCAGTGTCTAGCTTCAACCAATTCACCGAATTGAGTGACACATCCATCATTGTCATCAGTGAGTTACTATCTCACAACTGACCCGGTTGAACTCCACTGGTCATTGCTTCTCACTAGAACTTCAGGATATACATCTTGAAGCCAATCACTAGTGATACTTTTCAGTGTTATCTTTAGTAAGGTGATTATATTCTACTTATTTCACTATTTGCTTATTTTGAACTTAGTCAACTATTACTTTTGTTCAAAACACATTTATTTTAACTAAATTCAACGAGACTATGACTTATGGACGAACTAATCTCATTTAAGACAGCAGGTCTTGGATTTGGGCGCAAAACTCATTCATTCATTAATTTGTCTAAGTATCATTGTGGCATTATAACTGATGTCATTTCGTGATGAAAACCCTAAATCTAATTCCTAATCCTAATTCCTCAAACTATTATTAAACCCTCATTTAACTCTTGTAAGTAGTTGAACATTCCAAGGTCATTTCCATGTTGCTCAAAGATCGTCCATAAATTGTAGTCTCATTTATGTTAAGATTACAACTCTCTAGCCTTGATGTTTATTGTAACATATTGTTCTTCCCTTCAAGTATGCATAGCTTTCTATCCAATATCATGAATGCGCTTACTCTGTTTTCTAATAATTAAAGGTGTTTTTTTTAATCCAGTGTTTTGGGGAATTCTGTACTTCATAGCTAAATTTAAATCATTTTAGGTGATTCATACTACCACTACTACTACTACTACTACTACTACTACTACTACTACTACTTCTACCACTACTACTACTTATACCACTACTACTACTTCTACCACTACTACTACTACTACTACTACTACTACTGCTAATAATAATAATAATAACTTAACCATCAAAATTAAATAATTTAGTGACTTAGATTGATTTTGTTTTTCTAAACACAATAGACTTTTCAGTTTGAGTTATAGTTTCTATGTATATGATTGATTGTTTTAAAGGAATTCTGCTTTTTCAACACTAAGCTTAAGCATTCATATCTACTATAATCCTTAATAAGTGATTTTTCTTATTTTATTTTGGTATTTTAGGCATGTTGTAGAGATTTGAATTTAACTGAAGAGTCATCTAAATCAGGAAAACAAATACAGAACAATTTAGAATCTAAAAAATCATTGCAAGTAAGATAGAATTTTGGAAACATTCTTACTACGAGATTGTTGAAACTGTTTCATTTTATTAAATATGATGAACTGATCTAGGTTAGATAATCATTAAATACTTGATAGTGATGTACAGACTTTGTACATGATTATGGGACTCCCTATCAGCGCACACCTACAACTCTACCATGGGAAATTGAACATATGAATTTAAGTGCGGCTCATAAATGCTCAATAGCACAAGATTCTAAATTCACTATCATCACATCTCAGGGCCATGAATACGTACTGCTGAAGAGTCCCATAATAAAATGAAATGACCGTCTAGTGCTCTCAAGTTTTCCATGATAGTCTAGTTTCAATTACCTCATGATCTCAACTGTTGAAATTTCTATAATTTCCGCAAAAACCCCTGCTGATACAAAAGTTGTTATTCGTTGTATGCTACACACATTGAATCTTGTTACATTATAGTATATCATAGAAAATTTAAACTAAGTGGCTCGAAAGAATACACTAAAAGGTTTGCGTTTAAGCTACTGATATGATATTGCACAAATAGGATAAAATAGTCAAAATCAAAAGAATTGTATTAGTAGATCTGCCAATCAAACTAATAATCACAGTTAACATACACCTTTATGTAATAAAGGGTTATTAATAGTACAAACCAATCTTTTGTTTTTATTTAAGCTATCTACTCCAATTAGTTCTTTTTACTCTATCTTAGAAATTATACTTGTTTTAATTTATGATTCAGATTTAACAGCTTTTGTAATTTGGACATATCTTCTCTACCATAGTGTTTATTAAACAGTTTCTTGGAAGGAAATTTACATATATTCTCATGGAAAGCCTGAATCATTCTCATTTTATTTATTTATTTAAACCCATAAACATTGGTACAAGGAAGCACTAAATAGGTATACGACACATAAATCAATCGAATTGTGTGAGGGCTCGGATAAAGCCATGGTACCCAAATCGAATCAGGTGGTTTCCCTAGGGGGGCCACACCCGGAGCCTTCGACCTAATGGTCTGATCCACAAGGCAGTGGAGTAAAGTCAGGAGATGCAGTCTTATGTTAGACGGTGACCAACGATTGGTATATACGCCGTTTGTTCCTCCAAGATATCGGAGCTCATGTGCACGATTCGTTTGGAATCAGAGTTTTCCAAATCCCCTAGGTGAACTCTCCGTGTCCACCAGACCAGTCAAAGCACCGAACATTCGCTTTTTGTTCTCCCAATTTCGTAAACAACACCCCCTTCGCTAGAAAGCAATGAGTAAGGCTTCCCTGTCAGTGTTGTATGCACGTGGCCATGTGGGAGCATTTGGAGAAGAGCTGCCTCTCCCCACTCTCGGCCGTACCAGTACATTTGAAGATTGAATCATTCTTACGGAAAACTTTAATTTAATTATTTGACAGTGTATCGGATACTCAATAGATATGGTCACTTTAATCATTAATCACACAATGTTGTCATTAACTTTAAAATACTTAATGTGAGGTTTGTTTGCGACCTTTAACACTTTTCCCCAGATAAATAATGGTTTTTCGTGCTAACTCTCGATCTAGAATGTATTAATTTCCGTAGAAGAATCCCTTAAATAGTTATTCAGTGTCTAAATGAACAAAAAAAGCCCAAGGCTAAGAATCCCATGTCATTTTCAAATGTATATGAAATAAAATTTTTACGAAATTTATATTGAAATTGTACGGATATGTTTGAGAATTGTAATTATGATCAGAATGAGGTTTTTGTGGACACTGTAGCAATTCTAATAGTTCAATTCACAAGCCGATATAAGCTGGACCACCATGGATAACTCGGAAGCATTGGATAGCCGTTTTACCCTAGTATGCGACTCCTCAGCATCCACGATCCCGTTCTCAGGATTCGAACCCAGGACCTTTGATCTCACACGGAAACGCTTAACCTCTAGACCACTGAGTCGGTATCCAACGGTGTTAATGTCGAACTTCCATCGATCCATGATCTCGCGCAACACTTCACCCATTGTCTGAGGTAGATACCTTCTCTACCCAACATGGATTTGACTCCACTGGTCTTGGCTTCTCACAACAACTCAAGAAAATCATTTTGGAGCCGTTCATTGTTTCGAGGTTTTTCATAGTGGTCTACCTTATATCGATTCATAAATCCAACTATTAAAATTTTATTTAGATCAATAAGCAGAATACTAAGTACATAAAATAATGATGTTTTTTTCCATAATTTATAAATTCTATTAAGTGATTATATAGAATATTACTGAGATTATACTTACGATCTTTTACTAGAAAGAACATAATTATTATCGAATATTTTCAAGAAATCAACAAAATGGTTACGTCTCAGATGGAGTTATTTCTTTTAAAAGAAATTACAAAAATTCAAATTCAACCTTCGATAATCATAGAGAACCAGGTAATGTCACAATAAGTACACTTTTGTTTTTAAAACTATTTGTTACCATAGAAACAAAAAACCTACATAAATTTATCATGTTTAGTGAATTAGTAACATGTTACTATCTTAAATGTATGGAAAACCAAAATTTAAGCATATACTTTAAAACATACATGATTTAACGGATTTTAAGTGGTAACCCATATAAGATATACTATCAAGTTTAGCACATTTATGTGGTTTCGAATTAAGAACGGCTTTCATTAATGGTTACTTTAATCTGTCTTCATTAGGTAAAGGATCCAGATATAGATTGATCTTGTTTTATTTAGTCATAGCTAGCTTTCTGAAAATCGCTTTCTCGAAAATAGTCCCGTACATACTCGATGAGATAGTGTCTTTGTAAATCATATTTTCTTACATTAAAACTTCTGACATGTTTTCTTGACATTTTGCAAATAGATTACATGATTTTTTTAAAAAAACTGACTTTCAGTTACTTGGCTGCTATTTTCAAACAGATTCTCACCTGATTCCATTTGTTCACCCACATAATACCACAGGACTTTACACATAAAATGGGACTCAAAATATATTAGATGACTCGATACTCGAGTGATGAAGTACCCTGGAGTAGACTAAGATTTTAACTATGTATCATATCCCAATGTTTCTTGGGTTATTAACAAAAGACTATCAGTTTTCACTGCACTTAATTTATACTAATTACACGATCAGTACTTTGTCTGGGTAAGCAAGCTGCACATTGTTACTGTACTACTAATGTCTTTTGAGAATTGATAAAAAAATGTAGGAAAACTGTTTTCTTTGTTTTGTTATTTAATTAAACAAGTATTAATTGAATATTTTGACTACCGTATGTAACTTTTAGATATGGTTTGTTTGAAACCATACAATAAACAGAGTTCTAATCAAACTTCAACACTATCTCAGGAAACATTACAGGAAGATCATGCTGGCGGTCGGAATAAAGTGAGTTCAGTAGAGCATTTTTTTATCTTGACTAATTTCAAAGACTCACTTTTAGAAGTCTCACATTTAATGGTGTCATTCAATGGTAGTAGTGCCCAAAGTGATAGAAGCATGAAAAATCATATGACTTATATTGTAGTCAAGATTATGTCTAATCGTTACAGTTACGTGTTTTGTACGTTTGTCTTAGAAACGAAAAAAATACATTTTTTTACTGTCAAATTCCAGATGCCTAGCTAGTGCGATTTGTTATTTAAGTTGATTCAAAAATTAACATTGGAAAACTGAGAGTGATTAATTGAGAAAAATAATAAGAAAGCCGACAAAACACTTTTTCAAGTTGGAAACATAGGCACTGATGAAATAACCAGATAATCTTGTTAATATCTTAGGATTCGTGCCAGTAAAAAGTTATGTGGATGAAAACGAGTGTTAAGCAGAATTGATCCTAGTGTCTGTTTAAACATTTTGATGATCATTATTTCTAGGCTACCAACTCTGTTTCTTGCTGAAGTAACTGAGAAGCAATTTGATAATTGCTTATATCTCATTGCCTACTATATATATGTTAGAAAGTACACGACTATAATTTACTTCAGGATATCAAGCATAGTCTACGTTAACAGTTCTGTTTCCTATTATATTTTAGCTTCCTTTGATTTTCTGAGCAAAACAATTCTTTGAAAGTGCCTTTTAGGGAGGCTGTCTCTTATACGTTTCTTACTAGAGTGGAATCAGATACATAACCAATTCTACCTGAGGCTTCTGCTGATGATGTCGTTCAGAATAACAATGAAAGCTCCACGACTAAACCATCCAGCTCAGAGGACAAAACTTTATCAAAATATGACCACTTCACTAATATGTATCGACCATAATTTGTATGTTCGAATACCAACATAATTTTGTTTTAACGTGGCTACATATTACGTTATGTAGATATTCCACAGCAAACAGCTTTTTCACAGTATAAGGTTGTTACGAAGCAATATAGAGGCTCAATATTGACTGTATAAATGTAATTGTCTGATTCTCTAATATAACTTAAGTGACTAATTTCACTTAATATATATTGCCTATGAAGATTGATAAAAATATGATGCTCATTTCATTTCTGAAGTAGAGCTATTTTTTTCAAGTTTCATGATTCTCTGATTAAAGACGTTTTTCGTTTGTCAATAAAGAATAGCTTGGATCTCCATGTAGTCCCGTAAATACTGTCAGCATTAAGGCAGTGAGCATCCTGAAACTAACTAACGATATAGCAATATTTTAGGACTAATACAACGCACTTAAGGATGTTACTGCCTGGAAGGTTTCAATGTACTCTCGCAAGGTTTATTACGAATTCAATGACTTCCTTTGTTGTTTGTTCATAGGTTTTGGTTTAATTGATAGTATGTAATGACTTAAACGTAACCAAACTGTTGGGGTGATCCATAAAACATCTTGCAAAAGACAAGAAAGGCTCAGTAAACACCAAGAAGCATTTTATCCAATCAGCGTTCACTAGAAGTTTAGCCAGAAACATCAAGAAAGTGAAAAGTCAGATGTAGAGTTTCTGATTAGCTGATTACTGTACTGCTACTATGCTTAGTAGCATTCCAGAATTTTCGGGAAACCCAAGGACATCTAAAATACTATAAAAACCCTATATTTTCTGTACTAAAACGAGCCTTTGGAGTAAAGTGCCTCTCGCATATTTTGCACCTTTCTCTCGTGTTCAAGTCGCTATGTAGTTCTAGATTGGGGGTTACGAGAATAGCTTAGGAACCGAATATAGCATTCAATTAGCAAGACTTATCACAAACTCACACGAACTCTTATATCCTAAGTTTCATCACTTTTATACGTCCAACACTATTGGTATATCACATGTTAGAATGATGCAGTGATTTAATACCACTAGTCTTTTAATGGTTATGTAAGTGAAATCAATTTTTGATGAACAATGTCACCGAATAAAAAAAGATGTATTGCAAAGCAAGAACAGCATAGCTACAACTGAAGAACATCTGGGACAACTGTCGACCAACACCTAGGTCAAAATTTTCGATACAAATTTCAAGACAGTTTTACTACATGGGGCGGAAACTTGGACAACTACGAAAGCTATCATCCAAAACATACAAGTGTTTATTAACAGTTGTCTACGCAAAATACTTCGTATCCGTTGGCCGGACACTATCAGCAACAACCTACTATGGGAGAGAACAAACCAGATTTCAGCGGAGTAAGAAATCAGGAAAAAGCGCTGGAAGTGGATAGGACAACCAACTGCGTCACAAGACAAGAATTCATTTGGAATCCTCAAGGTCAAAGTAAAAGAAAAAGTCCAAAGAACACTTTACGTCGAGAAATGAAGGCAGACATAAGAAGAATGAACAACAATTGGATAGAAATGCACAGGAGCGCCCAGAACAGAGTGAGTTGGAGAATGGTGGTCGGCGGCCTATGCTCAATTTGGGAGTAAGAGGCGTAACTAAGTTAATAAGTAAATAATGTTGAACGCCACTTAGAATATACATAAAATTACTGATTGAGCTCTTGAACAAACTGATGTGAGAACACCATTAAAAACCTGGAAACACTGGATGGCCGTTTTGTCCTATTGTGGGGCTCCTCAGCAGTGCGCATCCACGATCCCGCTCGCAGGATTCGAATCCAGGACCTTTAGTCTCGGAAACGAACGCTTAACTACTAGCCCACTGAGCTTTCCCTCATTCAACGGTGTCAGTGTCTTACTTCAACTAATCCACGAAATCACGCGACCATCTTCCATTGTACTAAAGTACATACCTGTCTCTACCCGAAACGGATGAACTCCACTTGTCAAGGCTTCTCACGAAAACTTCGAGAATGCCTTCACGAAGCTAGTCATTAGTGAGCACATGGTAATTATCAGTATAGGAGTTGTGAAAATTATCAACTTATTGATTGAGATCTTGAATCGACTGATGTTAAACCATACCACCATTGTAAACCTAGAAGCACTTTACGACCGTTTTAATTATTCTATATTTTATCATCTATTAATTAAAAGAAAATCTTTTCTTATTGTTTGTTAACATTCTTATTATTATGTTTTAATTAAGTATTATACAAGAAGAGAAAATTTTAAACAAATACAACATAATTTAATAAATCAAGATTTAGATTTACCAAAAATCGATATTGGATCTAATTGTTTCATTCATCAATTGATTCATTTAAGAAGAACACATTCAGCACCAATTGAACATACTTTAATGAATAATAATAAAAAGTTTAATTTATCTAAATTAAATTATCATCATAGAAAACCTCATTATGTTTCTGATTATAACTATTCAAATATATATTATGATTATCTAACTAATCATTCAAATAATACTGTTATTAAAGATATGGATCAAAAATGGATGTTATTGAAGAATAGTAAGTTTATATGTATGTATCATTATTATAGACATTATTATTAATAAACAGTTATAGTTGTGTAAGCAAAGATGGATAGTGGCTAGTAGTGGAATCCAGGAAGTGCGTTTCGTCTTATTTGGGACTTGTCAGCCGGATGTACCTGCATTTCAGAATCGATGCTGACTCCGGGACTCGAACTCAGTACCATTCACTTCAAACGCCATCGCGTTATCCACTGCTAGCCACTGTCCATCTTTGCTTATAAATGCTTGTGAATCAAGGCAATATCAATGCATAAGCACAGTATGCACATATGCCAATAACAGACTGATCAATTGCAGTCTTAAACTTCAATGGGAAGATACAAGCAAAAACAATACCAATCAATACCAGTCAGTTAGTTATAACGGAAAACTTTATACGTTCATACATCAGTTCGAGTTGTCATATCACAATACCACAGAGATACAATTGTTAATTCAAATCATATAGTGCTAGATGTAGTAAACGTATAAGCAGTGATCGGAAAGACTAGGTTTGAAGGATGTTATTCAAAGAGTATAATCCAGTGAAATAAATTTGGAAAGATTAAAAATGGAAGGGACATGAAGAATTCAGAAGATTAGAATTCGAGAGAACACTAAGTGTGGATGCACCTTCCTTTATCTAACCATCCACTTTATTAACATCTTTCTCTTTGTATATCTTCCGGTAGAATGAAACATCGATGCATTAGAATCCAGTCATCCAAGTAAAAATATTAAAGATTTACAATACCGTATCTACTAAATATGCTTTACGACAAACAGGTTGTATAAGCTCATTAAATCAAAAACTTATAGCATTGACTATACTGTTAATTAACAGATATATATATATATATATATATATATATATATATATATATATATTCTTATGTCCTTAAAAAACATTTCATTAAATCCTAGATCATTTATTTAATGTTTATATTCATAAGTCAATTGAAGCTAGACTACCATGCAAAACCTAAAAGCATTGGATGGCCATCTCGTCTTAGTATGGGACTCCTCAGCAATGCGGATCCACAATCCCGCCTAGCGAGATTCGGACCCAGGATCTATCAGTCTCACGCGTGAGCGAGACTGATGTAGATATGTATTCACTTATAAAATGATGAAAAACTTATTCCGATCATTAATCGCACGATTTCGTTTAACACACAAATTCTTTCAAGTTAACACCGCATATCATTAATCTCATCACTAACATTGTTGAGAAATCAGTATTGTACAAAATATATATTACTGAATAAAGTCATAAATAGTAGTAATAATAATAGTTATAAATTTAAACAGCCTTAAACATGGCCACATTTCGAATTATAAATTTTGTATTTATAATTGTAGAATTTGAAATGGGTTTGTTAAAAAAATAGTCTTTGTTTATATATCTATTTGTTATACTTACTTACTTACGCCTGTTACTTTTCTTGGAGGAGCATAGGCCACTCACTAGGACTCGTCATCCAACCCTGCCTGGACAATCGTTTCTAGCTCTTTCCAGTTGTTATTCATCCTTTTCGTATCCGCTTCTATTTCCCGACATAATGTGTTCTTTGGCCTTCCTTTTCTCCTCTTCCTTTCACGATTCCAAGTTAGGGCTTCACTGGTGATGCAGTTTTATGATTTGCGTAATGTATGTCCTATCCATTTCCATCGTCTTTTCTTAATTTCCTCTTTAACTGGAAGCTGGTTGGTTCTCTCCCACAAAAGGTTGTTACTGATAGTATCCGGCCAATGGATTTTGAGTATCTTACGTAGACAGCTATTGATAAATACTTGTACCTTCTTGATGATGGTTGTAGTAGTTCTCCAAGTTTTAGCTCTGTACAGTAGAACTGACTGTCTTGACGTTCATATTGAAAATTATGACTCTGATATTGGTTGAAAGTTATCAAAGCTAACCTATTTGTTACATGGTACCTACAATTTATTATGTAATATCATAAACTGTTGTATTATATATCTATAAACCCAATTTATTTAAACGATTTGATTAACAAATTTTTATTGTTATTTCTAGATATTAATGTTAATCAAAATGAAGAAGTAACAAAGATTCCTTCCATTAAACAATGCAATAATCAAATTTTATTAAAGAATGAACAACTTCGAAGAGTTTCAAATACCTCCTCAGTATATAGTTCTAACTCTAATAATCATAATAATAATAACACCTTTCTCAATATAACCAGACATTATTCATCTAAACCATCAACCATAATGCATACAATTAATAAAACAACCTTATCACATCATCTACAAAAACATTTAAATGAATTGAATACCATCAATAAACGTATTAATCCTTTGGATTATTCAATTAGCTTAAAATCAAATGAGATTTTATCACATCATTTAAATAATAAGCTAAAAGTAAGATGTTTGTAATGAGCAAACCAATCAGTAATCTTCTTGAAAACAATTTCTAATTACATTCATTTATCATTAGAATCATTAGAATCAATAGAATTGAATTAGTTAAGAGTTAAATAGAATAATAAAATGATAATTCTATCTATTACATAAATGTGTAGATATATATATGTATCTATGTAAATGATTATACTTCAAGTGAATACTGTGAACATAAAGTAATTGTTAGTAAACTGATATTTTTATCATATACTTTTACAGAAAAACAACTAGTCAGTCAGCTACAACGTAGGAGCAAGTACATATATGTATCAATTCAAGTTGCCATACTTCATTAACACAACAAGATGAACTATCAAATTCATAGAAACAGCTTCTTCTTACTTATTTACACCTATTACTTCTCGTGGAGAAGCATAGGCTACTCACTAGGACTCGTCATCTAACTTTGTCCTGGACAATTCTATCCAGTTCTTTTGAGTCGTTATTCATCGTTTTCATATCTGCTTCTATTTCCTGACTTTATGTGTTCATTGGTCTTTCTCTTTTTTGTTTCCCTTCACAATTCCAAGTTAGGGCTTGACTCGTGATGCAGTTTGATGATTTGCGTAATGTATGTCCTATCCATTTCCATCATCTTTTCTTAATTTCCTCTTTGGCTGGAAGCTGGTTTGTTTTCTCCTATAAGCAGTTACTTCATTGGTAGTAATGTATAAGAAAAATATTGCATATAAGGTTATAGTAAAAGAAGAAAGAATTAGTTCGTAGAAAAACGGTATTAAGTGATCTCAAAATTTAAGGGAAGACAAACAGTGTATACACCCACGCCATTGTGATCGATTCTGAGTCATGTCACTCAGAGTCTCCAATCATTGGTAACGATAGTCACGCGGACCCCAACCAAGTAGTCTGTATCTACCAACATGGCTTAGACTAGATGTTAGTGATTTCAAGCACTGATGCCACATTTTGGTTTGGCCGCCCTTAACTTTTTTTCAATTATCCCCAACACTAGTCATCATTGCACGTCGTGGTAATCGGTGTTCAGGAATACGCAGTACGTGACCCAATCATCTCAGTCGATGAAGATTCACAACCTCATCAACTGATTTACCATTATTCCCTAATACCCTACGTCTAACTTCACTATTACTTACCCGGCGATCCTAGCAGATACGAACAATATTTCTCATGACTAGGAAAAATACTAAATGTATGATATCTTTAAAAGTTAAATAGATATGATAGAAATTTCCTACAATAGTGCTTAGTCCTCTACTGTTATTAAACGTATAGTACTCAATAATAGTTAAAGTAAATTAAGTATAGAAGTACCATAACTATGGATAGAATATTTATGTTCATTTAATTTAATTGAGAATTTAAGCGATTCTATTTCATTTTATGTTCTTTACTATAGATGCAAAGTATAAAAAAATTTAATTATGAGCCAAAAATTCACGATGAAAGTAAGCCATTTTGATATCATTTCTCTGTATACTGTCTTTTCCTCCATAAATTCAATCTCATGTTGCACTGAGGATAAAGACTTGATGAGATGTTAATAACATAGAATAACTTAAAAGACCATTAGATTATTCATCATTATTTAAATGAATAGTTTAATAACAGAAGGGGTTTTGTGGATATTATATTAACTTTTAATACTTGAGATCATGAGTCAATTGAAGCTAAACCATCATGGAAAACCTGGAAGCATTGGACGGCTGTTTCGTCTTGGTGTGGGGCTCTTCAGTAGTGAGCATCCACGATCCCATACTCGAAACTTGAACCCTGGAACTTCGGTCTTGCAAGCCAATGCTTAACCTCAAAACCAATGAGCCGGCATCCAACGGTGTTAATGTCTAAACTTAACGAAGCCACGATGGTCCTGGGTTGGAATCCTGTGTGCGAGATCATGGATGCTCACTGCTGATGTGTCCTATACTACAACAAAACGGCCATCCAGTTCTTTCAGGTTTTCAGTGATGGTCTAATATTCATCAATTCGTAATCTCAATCAACGAGATAAATCGTTAAGTGGTACATCAAATTTGGGAATCATATTTAAACTGTTCCTAAAAAGTAACTGTCTTATAGTGTCAAAGACAACTGTCCTACATATTTCAACAAAGAAATAGATACAAACTTTCTTTTCTTTGTATAACTTTAATCAAGTAGAATGTGATACATAAAGTAATTTTTCATGATTAATTTCAACGTGACAAATAAGTAAATCATCTAGAGTTTGATAACTTCTCTAAAATAACGGAAGATATATATTGTGGCACACAAATTGACATATTTAAAAATGAAATAAAGTAGTATTGTAACAACCTGTCTAAGTAATCATGATAATGTTTGGTTTGTATCATTTAATAGACAATGAAATAGACAAAATTATATTTCAAACCTTGACAATTTTAACGTATCAATTTTCCAGTAAAACGTCTTTAGTGGCCCTATATCTGTCTCCAATTAGATTGTATGATTGATGGTTGTCAAAATATACATCCGCACTATTCTCGTATATCTTTATCGACTTAACTCAAGTTGGTGAATAATGGAATTAAATAAGTTAAATACAAGAATGGATGTTTTGAATACGTATATTTTGTACACATTGATTTGAACAGACGATCAGAGGGACGAAGTGAAGAGAACAGAGCGAAGCAAGATGACGCGCAGTGGAGAAGGCATGTGAGCCAACTCCGCCTCAAATTCGCTCGATATGCTTTTAGCTTTGTGATCTGTGCTATCTGCTAACAAACTGTAGTTGCTGCTTTTCTTTGCTTTCTGATTTCAAACACCGTCGAGGTTGATTTCTACAAAATAAGCAAAATGTTTTACAAGTACAATTATACGTACAACATATATAAAGTTATTTAGTTCACTAGAGAAAAATATTTATAATTCCCGTTTATATTCACACAAGTTCAATTTACAGATGAATGAGTTACACGAGAGACAGAGAGAGATTATGACGTAATGGAGTACAGGAAGCATCTATCCATTGATATGATCACTTCAGGCAAAATGATAGAATTGATAGTAGTTACCAAGAGAACAATAATAAAATAACGGTGATAATAATTAGATAGTATCAAAAAATACAATTATTTGAATGGCAAACTTGACACGATGTAAAGTATTCTGTTAAACAATGTTAAAATAATAAGATTAATCGTTCTCATTACGATCACTTCACTATTGCACTTCAGTAATTATTATCAATTATATCATTCTGTCTATAGTGATCATATCAACGTACTCCATTAGCTCATGGTATTTATCTGACTCTTTTTCACTTCATTCATCTGTAAATTAATCTTGTGTGAATGTAAATAGGGATTTTCACAGTTAAATTTACGAGTCGATCTAAGTTAGACCACCATTTAAAACCTAGAAACACTAGATGGCCGTTTCGTCGTAGTATAGGACTCCTCAGCAGTGTGCATTCACAATCCTGCACACGGGATTAACTATATACCAAACAAATCTCTTAATCATCTTAATAATTTTTCTGCATGTTGAATTTGCAGTATTGTGGGTATGATTCATTTTGTGTAAAATGTAAAAAATTGTACTAAGATAAAGTGTGTACGTTTGTGTGTACAGAACTGAAGTAAAGTGGAATCATTAATTATATATGCCCTCAGGTTACGGTTGTTGATGGAATTAGACAATAATAGATGTTGTAAACCAAACTTGTCACATTAGAGTTAATGAACAGATAAATGTAAATTAATGTTGTTGTACTAAATAGTCTGGTTACTCATCATGTATCCAAATAAATTAGCTGATTAAAGCAAATGTAGAGATAATGTTGTCCGAAAAATGCGAAACAAAATAAATATAAAATGAAATTAAGATTTACATCTTAATTATTAGTTACCACGGTTCTCCATCACTTCTATTTCTATTGTTTGGGTTAACTTATATTTACAGGGCTTCAGCTATCATAATTTCTTTAGAAGAACCGGAACTACTTCAAATGACTCTATCTCCACTGATGTATGCCTAGGTTCATTAAAATACAATGCTAAGACAGACATATTTACTAGTGTTACTAAGTCTTCTGATGATCTAAGAATATGTTTCAAGAAAATTTTATATTTCTTCACCCTTAAATTCAACTACTGTGATATCTCATTTACATATACACCACCTCTGCTGACTTTCACTTGGTCATATATCTTTGATTTTGACTAGTTCGTTATATGATTTCGATATTTGATTATTTATCTTAAAGAAGCTTGAATAAAGCTGTTGAGTAAACATTTTGTGCTGATGATGTCGTTCAGAAGAACGATGAAAGCTCCAAGACCAAACCATTCACCTCAGTAAACAAAACTCCATCGCTGAAATCTTGACAAATCTAAAGTCTATCAACTTGACATTTAAATTTAAACGAATGTTCTTATTTAAACCATAAACTGATCTAAGTTTGATAACCTGAAAAAAATGGATGACCATTTCGTTTGATTATAGGAATCTGAAACAGTTCCTATCCATAAACGGAAAAAAATGCGGATATTCCGTCTCAGTGGATAAGAAGTTAGATATCCGCACTTTATAAAGTAGGTCCTGAATTCGATTTCCAATTGTGTGGTCATGGGTGTGTACTATTTAATAATTTCTTATTAGAACAAAACAATCGTTCAAGTGTTTCAGCCTTCCAATAATTGTCAAACTTCGATCAGGTGGTGATTTCAATAAAATTCAATAATTTCCATAAACTCACAAGCACAAAATCACTTTAATTTTAATATCAAGTGGGGTTTTGTGCAGATTGTAGTAATTTCAATGATTAAGATCGTGAGTCAGTTAAAGCCAGACCACCATGGAAAACCTGAAAGCACTGGACGGCCGTTTCGTCCTATTGTGGGACTCCTCAACAGTGCGTATGCACGACACCGTTGAATGCCGGCTCAGTGGTCTAGTGGTTAAGTGATCGCGCGCGAAATCAGTGGGTCCTGGGTTCGAATCTTGCAGGGGGCGAGGTCGTGGATGCCCACTCCTGAGGAGTCCCACTGTAGGATGAAACAGCCGTTCAGGTCTTCCAGCTTTTTCATGGTAGTCTTGCTTCAATTGACTCATTATCTCAATTATTAAAATTAATGGTTAGGTCATAAGTTTCTAAAAATCATTTAAATTTACTTATTTATACGTATTTACCTTTTAGTCACTTTAATGCACTAACTTTAAACCTTTAAGAGTATTTGAGCAATTTACTAATACCTTGTATCTATGTATGTCTTAAACATTATATTTTTTCTTTTCTATAGACTCATTGAATACAATCATGTTAGACGGGAAACCTATTCATATATTCAATAAGAAATCAACAATTTCTACATAAAATCAATATAAAAACTTTAAAATAGATCAATATATTTTTTTCATATAACTTTTTTTTCTAACGAATATTCTAGTTTGTACAATCAATTAATTAAATGGATAAAGATAGATGGTGGCTAACAGTAGATTCAGTAGTTAAGTGGTAGATAATGGGATTACATTTGTAAGTGAAGAGTATTAGGATCGAGTGTTAGAGTGAACATCATCTCTGTGATACAGTTACATCCAGATGATGAGTTCTAAATAGGATGAAACTGACGTCCTGGATTTCAATACTAACCATCATTCATCTTTGATTACAATGCTTGTAACTTAAAGCAATATCAAGTTAATTCATACAGGATGCACATATGCCAATAAGAGACTGATCAATTGTAGTCCTAAATAACAATGGGAAGATACAAGTAAAACAACACCAAGTGAACTTAAACTTCACCTTATTACACAAACACGTGGCTATCACGACTCAGTAGTTGAGTGAACAACACGATGGCATTTGTAGGTGAGTAGTAATGATAATATTTTAGAAAAAAAGTTTTTCAAAGTTATATTCATTCAAAAAGACTAATATTTGAACGGAGAATATTCCTAAATTCAATTGGTGTAGTTTTACTTGTATATTCCCATTGTTAATTAGGACTGAAATTGATCAGCCTTATTGGCATATGTGCATACTGTGCGGATTGCTTCGATATAGCCTTAAGTCACAAGTATTATAATCAAAAATGAATGATGGTTAGTATTGAAGTCCAGGACGTGAGTTTCGTCCTATTTGAAACTCGTCATCTAGATGTACCTAAATCTTAGAATTTATGTTCACTCTGGGACTAAAACCCAATACCATTCGCTTCAAACACCACCCCGTTATCCACTTAGTTAATGAATCCTGATAGCCATCTTCTTTTCGATAAACTCTCTTCAGATTCTACAATTATATATATTCAAATTAATAATCCATAAAATTGGCCAGGTTAAGGCTAAAGTGCATTCTTTTAAAGCATGTGAATTTAGGATTGTCAAACAAAATAGAATAAAACTGTTATTGTAGATGTGACTCATATAGAATATTTACTAGAATCAGCCTCTATGTTCAGTGAAAATTTAAGTTCCATGATCTGAATAAATATGGATCAGATAGAGTGAATAATAATAATAGTGCAATTACAATTCAATCAAATGTTTAGTGGAAGACTATGTTGTGTAAAAACCTATTAGTGAGACATAATAAGGTGGGATGAATGAGAAGTAAATGAATCATGTATTGGGGAGATTAATAGTGGTGTTTAACCAGTAGTAATAACAATAATGATAATCGTAACATTATTAATATCAATAGTTATGATCATGAGTCAATTGAAGCTAGACTACCATGAAAAACCTGGAAGCACTGAACGGCCGTTTCGTCCTATTATCGAACTCCTAGATCTATCAGTCTCGCACAAGAGCGCTTAACCTCTAGACCACTGTAATTATAACACAAAGATTTGTGAATAAAAATATCATGGAACATTACATCTGACTACGAAATGTCGTAAGTACAATAGATAAATTAGGTCATTCAATAGCTAAGATTACTATTGATGAATCGGTCTTGAGGTTGGCTGAGGGAGGAGAAGCGTTTGAAGATATTTCCTTTTGTACACATAGCTAAGGTTTCTTCATACGAATGGCTACCACTTCAGCCGTTTGAAGGACTTTAAGTCTGGCAAGCTTTGGCAAAAACGACTTACCTGATAAATAATTGAAAAGGATAAGTTTATACTGGCACTATGACCAGTTTTTTATTAAATGAGCCAATATCAAGCTGTTCACTTTCTTCACCAAACAATTGCTTAACTACCCTGGGATATGTTCACGAGGACGAAAATGTAAATTCCTAGAAGTTCTACCTATATAATTTGCTCCACAGAAGCAGTCGAACTGATAAATACAAAATGAGGTGATCATTGTAGGTGATTCATCTTTTAGCCTTGCTGTCACCATTGAGCACGTAGAAAACACTAATCGTAATTCTCTGAGTTAATATTTCACCAGCCGCATCCGCTCTGAATTGTAGGCACATGAACAGGGATTTCTTACCCACTGTTTGTATTTCACCTATTCTCACCTTGGTGATCATATATTTAATTATAAACTTACTAGGGTAACTATTCTTCCTAAGAGTATTACGCAAGGCATTTAGCTCATCTTCATTCTATTAAATACGTTGAATAGTTGTAATGTCTAAACACTAAAATAAATTGAAAAAAAAACTGATTTCCAAAAAGTGAAGAGACTAATTAAGGATTTTTGCCTTAGAAACAACATAAGGCAATATTTTTGTATTTAAAGTAATATACATAGAAATCTGTGTGAATTTTGATAAACAAAAAAACAAGAATAAGGTAAAAAGGGATACTATAGAATAATTAATGTATTAGAGGAACTTGTGAAATGTTCAAATCGATGACAATAGTGAGAGTGAGAGAAAACTTAAAAAGTTTTGGGAGTAGATTGGTACTTTTAGGCATGGATCATTTATTCCTTGATAATGCTTAATTGACAATGTTGAACTTCATTCGAACCATTGATCCATAATCTAATCAGCAAGTCTGCTATCACTTAAATGAATTGATATCCAAGTTTTTATCTTTTCGTCAGTTAAGATATGATTCTGGATGCTCAATTCGTCTCAATAAATTCATGAGTCTAGTCTCTAAAAGAGAAAGCTATTCGATCGTAAATGTTTATTACTTATGAAAAATGTACATACATATTTACGAATTTATCATTTGTATATTCGAGAATTTTCTAGTTTGGATAATATCTTTACATAACAATTGATTTCTTTAGAAAAACAAATGGGAAATTTAACAACGATTTCATGTTTCTTTTTAAATAGAACTTGAAATACAGTGTATTTTACCTGAGTTGACAGATATAAGTAGTATGTAACACTAGTCAGATGTGAAATGTTTGACAGCAAAAGATTAAGAAGATCAAATTGAAGAGAATAGTAATGTAAACAAAGATTAATTCTAATAATAACAGGAATAAATAAATGATGAGGTTTGTAACAGACACTTGATAGAAGCAATTCAAATGAAGTACTTCATGTATGTCATCGTGTATTATCCATAATTTGTTGTCATTCACTACAGAAATACACTTGCAATTGTTAACCATTTGAAATTTTCGTTAAGATCATTTATTTTGTGATGTTAAATAGGTAATCAAATTTCATAAAACCTAAAAGAAAAGATAAGGGATTTGAAAAATATCTCTCGGCAATCAAAACAGGCTACAAACTTTCAACAAGCCTTGTAAACTGTTATTATCAACAAATAATCCACATTTCTCTTATTTTAAATCTATATTACTGTTATGTTCCGATAAGCATAATGAATGGTAACTTTTGGAATCCATTTATGAAACAGTACTATGAGTATATTTTTATCGTATAATTGTTAAGTAACTAAACTATTCATATTCGTGTTCCTCTTATCATAAGCTTTATTTTGATCTACGAACTGTTATTATACGATTTACCATTCATGAATTATGCCCTGTTTATTCATTACTACCTACCACATTCAATACCACATTTGGCTAATTCTTGTATAAATGTTGTTTCCTATTTCATGGTACGGTGTGGTCTGTCTGGTTGGTATATAAACCCAGTATGTTTGAAATAAATGATTCATATCGCAGATGCTGAGATTGGTGTCCTGGACTTAACTGACTGGGCTAGGCAGGGTGCAGGACCGATAAATACTCTAGACTGCTCGTATGGGTTTTATATGTGATTGGTCTGGTAGATAAGTTACTGTTCTCTAATTGGCGGTATCATTACGCTATCATTACATTAACAGGGCACACAGGCTACAAGTTATAACAATTACAAACATCTAGCTCAATCGCAAAATCTTGAATTTATAGATCATAGAGTCGAAATTAATCACTTTGCAACGATGATCTCAGTGAAATCGTAATATTGTACAGTGTTATCATTGCACACTATTGAAGAATTCTAAACTAGTACTTGTTATTGTGTGTGGTTTTTAATGTTAACATAACTGATTTCGTCTTGTAACATGATTAAAAAACCTCTACTTCTATTAAGACGTTTGAGGTTTAAAAAACAACTTGGCTGATATAGATCATTCAAAGCCCAACTCATTCCATTTCTAGTATATTAACTAAATGTAGTTAAACACTAAAAGAAAAGCGGCACACTTCTCTAATTTCAAATTAATTACAACGACAGATACCTAAAATATTCACTAAAAGTGTAAACTTTGTAGAAATTTAAATTATGTAAGTAGCATTAATTCATTTGTATTGTTTGTTTGAATCGTCCTATTGATGTTTAGCACTGCAATTGATCAATGTCTTGTTGACACATGTGCATACTGTGTGGATTGCATCGATATTGCATATGCATTATATGCATAGATGGATGGTGGCTAGCAGCGGAATCCAGTTTGATGCGCGTTTCATCCTATTCGGGACTCAATTCAACATTAATAATTTCATTCTATTTTGTTTGACAATCCTAAATTCACATGCTTTAAAAGAATGCACTTTAGCCTTAACCTGGCCAATTTTATGGATTATTAATTTGAATATATATAATTGTAAAATCTGAAGAGAATTAATCGAAAAGAAGGTGGCTATCAGGACTCATTAACTAAGTGGATAACGGGGTGGTGTTTGAAGCGAATGGTATTGGGTTTTAGTCCCAGGGTGAACATCAACTCTAATATTCAGGTACATCTAGCTGATGAGTTACCATCCATCTTTGTTCATGTAAGTAGTCTTTACTATAAAGACATGAACACGAGAAACAGTTCAACTATTATAGTGTGATATTACCCACTACACTTGCGAACAACAAAAAGTTGGATATTCATGGGATTTGGAAAAAGATAATACACAGTTGATCATATCATTTGATAAGTCAATTTTCTCACTGATGATAAAAACGATTCATTGATAAGTGGTCTCAGTAATATTTTGTAAATATTACACTCCTACTTGTAACATCAGTGATTTTCAACTGAAGGATAAAGGTAAACCTAACAACAACTACTTCCGAAACAATATCCGGATTCCAATAATTGATATGTTTTTTTTCATTACATTCCCATTAGATGCAT